TGCAAAATAGATTGAGGTTGATCTACTAAAATTGTTTGACATTTTGGGATTTTGTTTATTTTCGTATGTGTTTAACAAAAACACTGTCGTCAGAAACTCTTGTGATGTGCGGTGTCTAAAGTTTGATGTGATACGCTAACCCCCTCCCTTCTTCCAACTGACTAATTGGGCGAGAAAGTCCATTGGACTACCGAATAAAATGCACAAATACTCTTCCATGTATAGATTCCAGTCTATGCCTGGAACATTGACCCATTTTGACTTCAATGAAATACACTTGACCTTTATGTGACTTGTGATCGCTATCGACTGACCTTTTGTATAGCCTACTTTTGATTGGCACTCTATATCATTTTTTTCTATGTTTATAACTGGCTCTTTAGTTGTATCTTGGGCATACCTTTTCATATGTCCAATCGTAGTTTTTGTATGTTTCTTTTCTAGGTATTTTCTAATGCTAAATTAGGTCATTAGGATGAGTCTATCATTTAACTGTATTAGCCTGTAACAGTTTTTACAAGAGGTATTTCCTGAAGTTCTAGTGCGAAGCCGTGATCAGCGGAGTTCAACGAGGTCTGTTGTGAGATAGTAGCTCACCAAAGAAAATGGTGGACGGTGACGCAATTTCGTGGATTGGTTGAAGGTAGACATTAACACCGTTGGATGCTGGCTCAGTGGCCTAGAGGTTAAACCTTTTGCGCGAAGGCTCTGGTTTCACGCGTGCGCATTGTATAGGAGTCCCGTCCAGTTGTCCCAGGTTTTCAACAGTAGTCTGGCTTTAATATACGTTTTTGTAAATATAAACAATGATGTGATTTTTAGGCTTAATTGACCTGTTCAATAAGAAATAAAGATGATAAATAATCTGTTTTCGTAATGATGCAGTCTCATGGTAGCCAGTGACCAACGCTTGGCTCATACGCCAATTGTTCCTTCAGCACCGTGGAGTCCATGTGCACATATGGTTTGGAATTACGGTTTTCCAACTCTCCTAAGCGGGTTAAAGTACTGGACATTCGCTTTTCATCCTCTCAACTTCATAAACAACAATAATGCTTTGAAAAGGCTATGATTAAGACTTCTGTGACAGTGGTTTTATGCACGTGACAAACTGAGAGCATTTGGTGAAAGAGAGAGCTGACTCTCCTCACTCTCGACCGTACCAAGGTATATGGGGCTATAAGAACTGAACAACTGTAGGCATAATCAAGTCATCATCTGAATAAATACAATCATTTACCTGATCCAAAATTTCGATAATATTCAACTAACTGAAAGTAATTGAATCACCATCCAAAGTGTCATAATAAAAATTTAGACCTTCATAAAGAACTTCAATTATCTACAGGATTGTTCATAATTCCCTGATTGAATTTATTTCAACAGGACAATAAAAATCAGTTCATTTCTTTATTGACTGACAAAACGATTGATTGTGAATATAAGTATCTATTTCCAGTAAAAAGAAAACTCACTTGATAGTGTCCTGAATAAATTGATGATAAAAAGATAGTTTCAACGGATATCTTGAAGTATCAAGAGGATTAATGAATTAGCTTCAACAAAATCGAAGTCAACTTTGATCCATTTAACAAAAATCTGCTGTAATCAAATCAAGAAATTCAGTAATTTACTTTAGGTGATGAATTAAAAAGACCAAGAAATACTGAATATACTGATTGTTTTAGTTTGGGACACGGTGGATTTGATGCAGATGTGAAGGTATGGATCATCAAACAAGAGCAAAATATCTAAAATTGAAGAATATCTAGAACTCAAAACAACTGTCTGTCAACCAACACCAACGTCAGAATTTCAAATACAAATGTCAAAACAGTTCTACTGTATGAAGAGGAAACTTGAAGAACTACGAAACAAATCATCCAGAAGATACAAGTGTTTATTAACAGTCGTGTACATAAAATACTTCGGATCCGTTGACTAGAAACTATCAGCAACAACGTATTGTAGGAGAGAACAAACCAAATTCCAACGGAGGTTGAAATCAAGAAGAAGCGCTGGAAGTGGATAGGACACAGATTGAGGAAAGCACCGAACTGCGTCACAAAGCAAGCTCTCACATAGAATCCTCAAGGCCATAGGAGAAGTGGAAGACCGAAGAACACATTACGTCGAGAAATGTAGACAGACATGAGAAGAATGAAGAACAATTGGATAGAAGTACAAAAGAAGACCTATGACAGAGTATGTTGGAGAATGCTGGTCGGTGGCCAATGTTCCATTAGAAGTAACAGGTGTAAGTAAGTATGGGAAGATATAAACAAAACAATACCAAGTGAATTTAAATTCACCCCATTACACAAGCAAGTGGCTATCGGGACTCAGTATCTGAGTGGATAACGCGATGGCGTTTGAAGAGAATGATACTGGGTTAGAGTCCCAGCGTGAACATCAACTCCAAGATGCAAGTACATCGAGATGACGAGTCTTATATACGACGAAACGCGCGTCCCGAGTTCCACTGTTAGCCATCATTCATCTTTGCACTCAAATATTATTTTTTGAATGCTTTTCAAAGAAAATTTATCATCGCCAACGAGATCTTTTATCCTTGATTCTGTGTTTAACTCATCTCTATTAAATGTGATTATACTCGGAAAAAAGAATAGTGAATGTAACTAGAGGGAATAATATCTAAATAGACGATAAGTATATATCAACAATAACAACAACACGATTGAATAAACCGACAACTTGAACATGTAATCAAATAACAACACTAAATTAATTCATAGGTAAATTACATGTCAATTAATCATTTATAATTTATATGGTCCAATAAATACGAGATGGAGTTATATATGTATATATACACACACACAAACTAGTAGACAATGGATATGAAAGGTTTTATAAGCAAAGATGGATAGTGGCTAGCAGTGGAATCCAAGACGACCACCACTTCGTCCTACTTGGGACGAAGTTGGAGGTACCTATATCTGAGTTTATGTCCGCTCTAGGACTCGAACACAGTACCATTCGCTTTAAATTCCACTGAGTTATCCACTCAGCTACTGAGCCCTGATAGGCATTTGGCTGTGCAATGGGATGAATTTAAATTCCCTTGGTATTGTTTGGCTTGTATCTTCTCATTGAGGTTTAAGACTGCAATCGATTAGTCTGTTATTGGCATGGTACTGGGTTCGAGTCCTAGAGTGAACATCAACTCTCTCAGATGCAGGTACATCCAGCTGACGAGTCCTAAATAGGACGAAACGCGCGTCAAACTGGATTCCACTGCTAGCCACTATCCATCATTGCTTACAAATAGCTTGTGAATTCAGGCAATATCGAGGCATACGCACAGTATGCACATATGCCAATAACAGACTGATCAATTGCAGTGTTAAACCTCAATGGGAAGCATACAAGCAAAACAATACTAAGTGAAGTAAGTAATTATAATTTGTAACACTTTAGAAATCAACAGTCAGATAACATTAGCACACATCAGACTCAATAATTTCATGTCTAACATCATGTTAAGAGGATAATCTATTAACCATATATGGAGAGGTTCTAATGTGATATGATGGGAAGAAAAATCAATATTCCATTGATTTACTTATTATGAGTTTTGTTCAATATTATTTCCCTTCTAATTCAATGTGATGTTCATGCACGTTGGTATTTGTTTTCTTTTGTCGTATGATATTTGATTCTGTATAATATACGAGATATTCTTGTATTCCATTGACATGAACTATACTCAGTCTGTGATCTGTTATAATGTGAGTATGTGATCTAATCCTAATTATTATTCAAAAATGGGTGTAAAATCAATATATAAACCAGTGATTCGTCGTTCATCGTCGTCGTGTTTGGGGCTAATAAATCATCACTTATACCAGTCTTGTGTTCTTACTTTCACATCGTGGGAATTGCCGAGGTCCCCCCCCCTCATTCCGAGTATAAGTGATCAACGGCTTTTTCCGTCACAACAATTGCGATGACCAAATACAACATAATGAATTCCTATAATAGAATACTTATACTGACCTTATCTACAAAGGAATTAAAAGTGTAACGAATAAACTATCTATTCCAAAAAGAAGAGTTCTAATTTAAAGTGGTAATGCTATGTATATTTATATTAAATTACTTATACTTTTAGACTGTTTCTACCCCTTTATTGATAAACTATAACATTAGGCTAACGTTCCATTTCAAAATACTTTGTTTATCAAGTCAACTTCTTTGATAACATACAAGTTTCTTTAATGAAATTAGATTCATAATCATTAGAAATCACTTAGACTATAATGAAAATCACAGCTCATTTATTAGAAGGTACACACCTATATATATATATATATGTGCTATACATGAAGTATAAGTGTGTGCATATGTAGTTCACACACATATATATATATCTACCATAGTATCTGTCTTTGAACAGCTTGTACCTCCATTGGTTAATTAATCATAAACACATTCACTTATATATATATATATATATATATATGTATATGTTATTATTCATTTGAGCACAATGATATTAGCTTTATACACAAATAAGAAAGTGAATATATACCATTATCGACTTTTATTGATATCAGGTGACCAATGGTATTTTACTTATCTAATGAATAAAAACAATTTGCTAAATATTAATATAATGTCTCCTTTCATTAGTTATTGTTTCCAATAAATCATTGAAGAATTAATTACTAACATATATTTGGTGTAATTGTTAAAACTTTATGTTACTGTCCACATTGAAATCATTCAAGAAAAATAAAGGATCTGGTCAAGTTAAAATAAACATCCACATTGAAATTATTCAAGAAAAATAAAGGATCTTGTCAAGTTAAAATAAACATCCACATTGAAATTATTCAAGAAAAATAAAGGATCTGGTCAAGTGAAAACAAACATCCACATTGAAATCATTCAGGAAACAGGATCTAGTGAAGTTAAAACAAACATCCACATTGAAATCATTCAAGAAAAATAAAGGATCTGGTCAAGTGAAAACAAACATCCACATTGAAATCATTCAGGAAACAGGATCTAGTGAAGTTAAAACAAACATCCACATTGAAATCATTCAGGAAACAGGATCTAGTGAAGTTAAAACAAACATCCACATTGAAATCATTCAAGAAAAATAAAGGATCTGGTCAAGTTAAAATAAACATCCACATTGAAATTATTCAAGAAAAATAAAGGATCTGATCGTGTTAAAACAAACAAACAAACACACACACACAACCTAATCTTATCATCAGAAGAACTGTTATATTAATATTTAAAACAGAATATAATAGAGGGATTTTCAATTAAAGCGGGAATTCGAACAACAGAACAAACAGGAATAGTATTTTTTTTTAAAAAAAATATTCATACAGAGTCATTGATAAGACATCCGTTCAGAAGGCGGAAATATGTCAAGTTGGCAACGTCTTTCTGGATATTTAAATTCGAAACCGACTGGACGTAAGTCATTTGTTTTCTCACAATACCATTAATGTAAATTCACTTGGTGTTGTTTTACTTGTATCTTCTCATTGTTATTTAGGACTGTAATTGATCAGTCTCATATTAGCAGGTACATCCAACTGACGCGTCCTAAATAGGACGAAACGCCACTATCTATCTTTGCTTAAAAAGTACCATTAGTGTGTATGTTTTTTTTTAAACGAAAGTTGTTTATTAGTTGTCTATAATCTTTTGGTGATATACAGTTTTGTAGGAAACGTGATCACAAGTAAGCACAATCGAATATAATTAAACACACAAAATCATAGAAAAACTTAGCAAATTCTGAGAATCATACAGTGAAGACTTCATTTGCAGAATGTTAAACAGTTACCACAGACTTCATTGTTCTTTCATTTCCATACCAATCATTCATTGTTCCTGTTCTCTTTTCTTTGATCTTCTTAACCTTCTGCCTTCAGACATATCACTTTTGATTGATGATACATACTACTTATATCTGTCTAGATCAATAGCACATACCACAGTTTTGTCCAATTTTAATGAAGATAATGAATTGTGCAATTTTACGATTTTGTAGACAATACTTTGGGTATTGTATAATACATAGAAGTCGTTAAATATCTTGTTAGTTATAGAATAGTGAATTAAATACACCCTGACATGTTAGCTAATGCTCCTTTTGTAATAATAGTGGGAAGATTATAATTTATGGATGAACCAATCAGATATAAGATAACAGGTCTAGGATTTTGGCGCGAAATTCATCCATCCATTTGTCTAAATAACGTTTTGGCATTTTAGCTGATGTTAATTCGTGATAAAAACTCTAAATCTAATCCCTATCCCTAACCATCAATTGTCAAATTATAATCCTAATTCATCACATACACTAGTTTATAACCCTCATTTAACCCTAATCAGCCGGTGAACATTCTCAAGGCTACTTTAGCGTCTCACTCCTTCAGTTTACCTATAGGTTGCTACACAAACTAATCTCTAGTTCATGTTATATGGAGCTAACCGTCAATTCATGGATTAATGATTGATATTGCTATCAATTGTTAAGTTGAGTGCTGTATTAAGATTTTCTTATTGTTGATTGCATGAAATCGATCGATTAACTAAAAGCTAGGAGATCAAGTCAACCATGAGAACAATTACTGTTAGGCGACAATTTTACATTGTAACCTGATTCATTGTCACGGCAAGAATTCGTTCATAATCAATTTTACTACAAAGTTAAATATATGGAATTCCAATACTGATTTCGTTAAACACTGTTTACTTTAGTTTAATAGTTGAACTCATGAGTCAATTAAAGCTAAACCGGGTCTGTTGAGAGATAGTAATTCAATGAAGATAGTAGTGGACGGTGGCACAGTTTCGTAAATTGGTTGAAGTTAGATATTAACACCATTAGACGTCAAGTCAGCGGTCTAGAGAGAGTAAGCTTTTGTGCGCTAGACCGATAGGCCCTGTGTTCGAAACCGGCGAGCGCGATTGTGGAAGAGCAACGGCCGAAGAGTCCCATATTTGGACGACACAGCCGTTCACTGCTTCCAGGTTTACCTTGGTGGTCTAGCTTTAATTGCCTCATGAAATCAACTATTTACTTGTTTAACGTATTACCATATAGTAAATTAATTCGTCAACAAACGAAATAACAAACGCTACGAGACATGAATTCCATTTTTGGAATAATGACTGATTAGTTTAGACAATAAGATTTCAACTAATGGGTTGTACCTTCCAAATTATATCCAACAATTTCTGTCTAGACGTAGTCATATAATTGATTGTTAGTTAAAGAGTTGTAATTAAGTCAAACCAACAGATTGCGTACTGTTGAGGAGTCCCACAATAAGACGAAAGGTCTGTACAGTGCTTCCAGGTTTTCAATAGTGATCTATCTTGATTTTAGGTTCATTTGAAATCATCATTCATTCAAATTAGTAACCAATTTGTAACTCGAACGACAGAACACGGATAACACTCAGTGTAGATCTTCGAAACTTAGATCAGGTCATATTATCCAGTAAGACAAAACCTGTAACCTGTTCACATATACATTCATTAACTGTTTATATTCATCTCATTATAACTGTTCACTAATACTATACTATACTAATACACTTATTTAATTTAAAGAATTTCTGGTGTAAATATTCAATTGTTTGATGTGAATTACTTCCAGTGATTCCAGGTTTTCAATGGTTGGTTTAACACAACATTATACTATGAATTGCTTTAACTAATTGTCGATGATATTTAATGAATTGATTGAAAGGGATATTTTGAAATTAGACCTCTGATATCATCTAAGGGACAGTCTTACTTACCTACTTACTTAAGCCTGTTACTCGCAATCGAACATATGCCGCCAACCAGCATTCTTCAACCCACTCTGTCCTAGGCCTTCCTTTCTAGTTCTATCCAACTGTTGTTCATTCTTCTCATGACTGTTTCCATTTCTCGACGTAATGTGTTCTTTGGTCTTCCTCTTTTCCTTTGACCTTGGGGATTCCACGTGAGGGCTTACCTTGTGACTCAGTTAGGTGCATTCGCCAATGTGTGCTATCCACTGTATTCCATTTACCCCTCCCCCCAGATGTTGAGGTCTTCATAATCCAGTCGATCTCCAGGAGAAAGAGAAAGGGTTTGAATAAACAACGTTGCCTGACACCGGGACAGTAGTTTTGTCATAATTCGAAACTGACAAACAATGTGAATTCATAACATACCAGAGATGGAACTCAGGACCTTGCTGACTTCGTCACAATCCCTATAGACGTTTTTAAAACACTGAATCGGAAACTGCTGATTCATATGATTGTGAACGTAAGATATCCGTCTATCAATTAAGGGACGAGTATACTGCACAGCATTTCGTTCTGTTCTAATTTACGGTTGCGAAACGTGGACATTAACAGTAGAAGATACTCCTTAGCTAATACTATTTGATCACAGATACCTTAGAAATATTGCTCACATCTACTGGGATCACCAGTTAAGTAATAGTGAGGTTAAACATAGGGTATTAGGGAATGATAGTAAATCACATGATGAGGTTGTAAATGTTGGTCGACTGAGATGGTTTGATCTTGTGGTACATATTCTTGAACACTGATTACCGCGACGCGGGTTATTTTAGAATTTATAAAGAATATATATATTCAAGATTTTGAGATGAGCTAACTTAGTTGGTTGATTTTAGTAAGGTTAACTTCAATGGGTAATACGATTTGACTATGGAGTTCTCATGGACGAATTAAGGCAATCAATCACACATAAATTAAGTTATTGTTTGCAGGATATCTAAGTAACTAGATTCTATATGAAGTAGGCCCTGATAATGTTTACCACAACGATAATAAAAGTTCCTTAATTAACCTAAGTAGCTGATAATTTAAACTTTAGTCATTACTGGTAGATGCATCCTTGTATAGAGAACATCAACTAAAGTAGGTCAATACTTAAAAAAACACTTAGAAGCGTCTGATACATTCTCCCTTTTATTTCAGAAACTAAATTAACTTATTTGCAGTCAGCCCCTTTGATTGGTTCCTTAAGTTTATGGAAACAAAATGAGGATGGACTTTGTTAAATAAATAATTATAAGTGTAGATGTTTCTATGACAACTGGTCAATAATATTTGATAACTAGTTCTAAATAGGAAGAAGCCCAAATCTTACTGATTACTTCCGGTTGCTACCTAAAATTGTCTACGTTGTTGACTTTATTATAATTGTTTACATGATTGTATTAACAATATTGATGTTTATTTGGCCTTTACTCAATTGTTCGTTAGTGTAATTTAATGCAAGAAATAGTTAACATATACGCCTATACTTTTGTTCATAAATCTTGTTAATCGATTTAAACTAGTGACTCGTATATCATAATAATTTAATAGTTGAGTTGATAAGTTAATTGGAGGTAGACCATTATGAAAAACCTGGAAGCATTGAACGGCCGTTTCGTCTCAGTGTGAGACTGCACATCAGTGCGCATCCACGATCCCACCTCTCGAGATCCGAACCCAGGACGTATCAATCTCGTGCGCGAACGCTTAACCTCTGGACTACTGAGACGGCCGGCATCCATCGATGTTAATGTCTAAGTTCAACCAATTCACCAAGTTTTACCACCATCCACCATTATCTTCAATGAGTTACTATCTCACAACAGATCCAGTTGAACTCCACTGATCTAGCTTCAATTGACTCATGAATTCAACTATTAAATTGCTAAAATCTCCACAAAACACCTCTCTGATTATAATCATCTTATGCTCACTAGTGACTGGCTTCAAGAGGTATATCCTGAAGTTCTAATGAGAAGCAGTGACCAGTGGGGTACAACCAGGTCTGTCCTGAGATAGTAACTCCCTGAAGACAATGGATGATGTGTCGCTCAGTTTCTTGGATTAGTTGAAGTTACACATTAACACCGTTGGTTGCAATCCATCTCAGTGGTTTAGAGGTTAAGCGTTCACGCGTGACACTGAATCCAGCGAGGCGATATCGTGAATACTCATTGCTGAGAAGTCCCATATTAAATTGAAATGGCCATCCAATGCTTCTAGATATTTCATGATGATCTAGCTTGAATTGACTCATAAATTCAACTATTGAAATTACTATCACTTCCATAAAATCTTTCTCTACATGCATAGAAATAAAAATGCACTTTACTTAAATCTATTGATTTATATGAGGGCAACTTATAAACACTTCTCTACATGTGATCATTTATACAATATAAACATGTATTTTAAAGAAAAAGAGAAAAAAAGAAAGAAAAGAAAAGAAAAGCAGAAAGAAGAATGAAAGAAAGAACTACAATCAATCTTATGATTACTACACATTATGTCCATATCAATCACATGGATTGTTTTCCGTATTTTCTTCTTTAATCATAATGTTGTTATTTTTCTCACATTAAAACTTACTTTAAGTTTTGTTCTTCTTTTTCGTTTGTTTTTTTTTCACTT